CTTTGGGGCCCAAAGGGACCGTGGGCCAACACAAACCTATACCCTGACCTAGCAGCAGTGGAGCTTCTGCCCTGCACAGGCACAGAGCCTCTGCTCAGGTACAGACTTCTGGTTTTGGTAATTCTGAGGGTCCAAGAGAGTGTGCAAGGTAAGGAGATGAGGTTGCAATTGCTGGGCTGCGTTGGAAGGTGGCTGCTGCTCCATTTGGAAAATGCACATCTGCTGCAGATCCTGGATGACAGTCCAGCCAGAGTTGCTGTAGTAGCGGGCATCAGATAAGGGGCTCTTCAGGCCCGGAAGTTTATCCAGGGTCACTCTATGCCTCATACTGAGCTCAACATGCCTTGGTGACTCTTCATGTAAGGGGCTTAGGAAATAGTGGCCCTGGTAAGCAGAAGCCCTCAAATTAGGCCTCCCCATGACCCAGCAATTCCCCTTCTAGGATCATCCTATGGAAATCCCTGACCACCATGATGGTGCCTGTTGATAGTAGTGATACTGGATACCATGGGAGTCAGTGTCCTTCAGGAAGGAAGTTGTTAGATACTAATGCCTGGTCACACGTTAGAATATTGTGCTGCCAATAAATAATTTTTTTTTCAGAAAAGTTTGGTCCACAGGAGAGGCAATCATACCATAATTCTGTGAGAAAGGCAGAGTATAAAATAGTGTGTAAATGATGGTGACATTTTGCAAAATATTTACATAAAACTGCTTTAAACTTTATAAAGACTGACAAACCAGCTTGTAGAGACTGTCTATCCTACAACATTAACAGGAATTCCCCCCTGAAAGTGAGATTATGAGTGATTTCTTATTGTTTAAATTTAAAAACTAATTCACTTTTGGAATATTCAGTTGTATGAATTTTCACAAATGCATCACGTCATGTACTTAGTTGCTGTTAGGTGCCATCGAGTTGGTTCTGACTCATAGAGACCCTGTGTACAACAGAACGAAATGCTGTCGGAGCCTGTGCCATCCTCACAATAGTTGCTATGTTTGAGCCCATCGTTACAGCCACTGTGTCAATCCATCTCCTTGAGGATCTTCCTCTTTTTCACTGACCCTCTACTTTACCAAGCATGATGTGCTTCTCCAGGCACTGGTCCCTCCTGATAACATGTCCAAAGTACAGGAAACAAAGTTTCGCCATCCTTGTTTCTAAGGGGAATTCTGGCTGTACTTCTTCCAAGTCAGATTTGTTCCTTCTTCTGGCAGTCCATTCAATATTCTTTGCCAACACTAGAATTCAAAGGCGTCAATTCTTCTTCGGTCTTCCTTATTTATTGTCCCACTTTCGCATGTATATGAGGCAATTGAAAATACCATGGCTTAGGTCAGGTGCACCTTAGTCCTCAAAGCGACGTCTTTGCTTTTTAACACTTTAAAGAGGTCTTTTGCAGCAATTTGCCCAATGCAATGTGTCTTTTGATTTCTTGACTGCTGCTTGCATGGGTGTTGATTGTGGATCCAAGTAAAATGAACTCCTTGACAACTTCAATATTTTCTCCATTTATCATGATGTTGCTTATTGATCCAGCTGTGAGGATTTTTGTTTTCTTTATGTTGGGGTGTAATCCATACTGAAGGCTGTAGTCTTTGATCTTCATCAATAAGTGCTTCAAGTCCTCTTCACTTTATGCAAGCAAGGTTGTGTCATCTGCATATCACAGGTTGTTAATGAGTCTTCTACCAATCCTGATGCCCTGTTTTTCTTCATATAGTCCGGCTTCTTGGATTATTTGCTCAGCATACAAATTGAATAAGTATGGCGAAAGGATACAACCCTGATGCACACTTTTCCTTATTTTAAACCATGCAGTAACCCCTTATTCTGTGGAACGACTGCCTCTTGGTCTATGTACATGTTCCTCATGAGTACAATTAAGTGTTCTGGAATTCCCAATCTTTGCAAGGTTATCCATAATTTGTTATGATCCACACAATGAAATGCCTTTGCATAGTCAATAAAACACAGGTAAACATCTTTCTGTTACCGCAGGTAAACATTTTTCTGGTAGGTACATTTGTGGTACCTAGTACAATGAAAGTACAGTCAGTACCTCTCTTCCCTCCAATAAACTCCCTAGTGCTGCCTCTTTTTCTTCAAACCTCCCCCTCACCATGATTCCTTGGCAACCATCCCTACACATATCATGTAGCATGTAGCTTTTTTATTCTGGCTCCTTTAATTTGGCATAACGCATTTGAGATTTATCTGTGCTGATGAATGTATTGAGAGTCTTTTCCTTTTTACTGCTGTGTAGTACTCCATTGTGTAGAATACCACAGTTGGTGTATTTATAAGTTGAAGGATATTTGAGTTGTTTCCAGTTTTATGAATAAAACTGACGTGAATATTCATGCACAGGCTTTCATGTGAACATAAAAATGGGGATTGTTATGTCATATGGCAAGCATATGTAGATATATGTTTAACTTAAGTAGCCCTGGTGACACAGTGGTTAAGTGCTCAGTTAATAACCAAAAGGTTGGTGGTTTAAACCCACCAGCTGCTCTGTGGGAGAAAGTTGTGGCAGTCTGCTTCCATAAAGATTTACAGCCTTAGAAATCCTATGGGGCAGTTCTACTCTGTCCTATCGGGTTGCTATGAGTCAGAATACACTCATCAGCAATAGGGTTCTGCCAGACCTCCAAGGAAGGAAGGGGGCTGGAAAGTGAGTTCAGTCATGTGACCAGTGATTCAATCAATCACCCTAGGGAATTAAATCCCAATAAAAAATCAAAGGAGCTTGCTGGTCCATGATAGACATCCGTGCAGACCTAGCTCCTGGTGGTTAGAGCAAAAAAAACTGCATTTGTGGTGTCAGAAGATATTTAGAGTTGGCATTGGAAGCAGACAGTTACACAGACAGACACTTTATGCCCCTGATGGGTGAGAGATCAAGTTGGGTGCCAAGAACTAAGCCTTGGTGTTGCTAGGGACTGCTCTGTCACTCACAGAAAACCAACATGAGATGAAGCCATGCTTTTACCATTGTCCTGGTTATCAACTTCTCTGCTGCAAACACTATTTTTACTTGCTCTGTGATAATGGAGCTGGGCCTTTAGTTCTCTTTTGTCAGTTACCAGTGTATGTAGGACAATGAAAGTCACTGGAGGAAGAAGGGGCAGCCCTTTCTGGCTTCAGTGTGATCACTTGCCAGGCTTCTGGAGAGGGCACTTCCCCTACCACGTTGCTTCCTGCTGGTTCTACAATGCTGGGCTCCTGCAGGGCACAGCACCTGGAAACTGCAAGCTTTCTCCAGCTCTGTTTGAGCAGTGGTGGCACAGCCTGGAACCCCACACGTTTGGACCTGTGGCCTTATCCAGATTGCTAAATCCCAAACTCTCTGAAAAGGAAATATGGGACTGCCCGACAGTGAGCTGTTCACCTGAATTTCCTCCCCTGAAGCCAGTAGCAAGCAGAAGTGTGCTAGATTCCTCCATAAAGAAGGTTCTCCTAATCCGAGCAGCAACTGGAATTATCACATGCCATTGGTGGGGATACAAAATGTTATAACCCCTTGGAAAAACAGATGGCAGTTTCTTATGAACTTAAACATGTTGTTGCACGCCGTCGAGTAGATTCCGACTCATAGTTATCCTATAGGACAGAGTAGAATTGCCCGCATAGGGTTTCCAAGGCTATAGTCTTTAAGAGAAACAGCGGTGGCATAGTGGTTAAGAGCAGTGGCTGCTAACCAAAAGGTTAGCAGTTAGAATCCACTTGCCACTCGTTGGAAACCCTGTGGGGCGGTTCCACTCTGTCCTATAGGGTTGCTATGAGGTGGAATTGACTCGACAGCAATGGGTTTTAATCTTTGTGGAAGCAGACTGGTGAGTTTGAACCGCCAACCTTTTGGTAGAAGGCAAGTGCCATCAGGTCAAGTGGAGGTCTGGCTAATAGGTCTTCTGAGCCTCACACCCTGAGTGGTCCCTTTAAGATATGCTATAAGGTGTGTTCAGAGCCCTGGTGGTTAGTGGTTAAGAGCTACAGCTGCTAACCAAAGGGCGACAGCTGGAATCCACCAGCTGCTCCTTGGAAACCCTATGCGGAAGTTCTACGCTGTCGTATAGGGTCACTATCAACTCGACAGCAACGGGTTTTTTGGTTTTTTATAAGGTGTGTTCTGGAGTCCTCCATGAACATCAGAGGTATTCCAGTCATTCGGGAGATTTCAAGGGTTTAGAGGTTATCTCCCCGGAATCAAGGACAAAGACCTAATTTGTTGTGTAATTTACTACATAGGGCTGTTTTTCTCTTTCCTTTTCCTAAGGTGAAAAATATTGCCTTCTATGTATCAGACAAGGAGCCCTGGTGGTGCAATAATTAAGTAAGTGCTCAACTGCTAACTGAAAGGTTGGCGGTTTGAACCCAGCTAGCAGCTCTGCAAGAGAAAGACCTGGATTACAGGCAAGAAAACCCTATGGGGCAATTCCACTCTGTCACATAGCGTCTCTACTCTGACTCACAGAGACCCTATAAGACAGAGTAGAACTGCCCTATAGGGTGTCTAAGGAGCGGCTGGTGGATTCAAACCACTGACCTTTTGGTTAGTAGCCTGAGCTCTTAACCACTGTACCACCAAAGTTGCTGTTAATTCAGTCAATCGTCAGCAATCTCTGTAAGGTAGATACTGCTATTGTCTCATTTTATAAGGAAATTGGGTCCTAGAGTTTCCAAAGCTAACACGTGAAAATGACACGATCAGGATTCAAACCACGACTTAGGGTGGACTGTGCTCTCCTAGTGCTAATTTTTATGCACCGCGCCCTCCCTCCCCACCCAGTGCCAGGAGCTCTAGGCTCAGTAACAAATGATCCAGCTGCATCTTTCCGGGAGGAAAAAGTATTTCTCCTCAGCTCACAGCGGGGAGAGTGACCACCGCCAGGCTCGCAGCAACCTCCGAAGTCCGGGTCCTTACGCTGTGTACAGCGCAGAACCCCAGGTGGGCTGCGCGTCTGAGCGTGCGCGTCCCAGCCGGCGGCCATCTTACGGCGCGCTCCTGTCAGCGTCTGACTGAGGTAAGTTTTCGCGTATCTCCGCATCTGGCCGTGCCCAGGTGCAGCGCAGCGGGAGCCGGGGGCGGGGGGCAACGTGGGTGGTGCAGGGTCCAAGGACACTCATCCTGGAGTCATGCGCCGTTCGGGTCTGCCCTGCCTTCCACGAGCGCTCTCTAGCCGTGGCCCTTCATCCGAGATCTGGCCCTTTTCGCCTCATCGGGAGCTGCCGGGGTCGCGCGGCGGCTCTGAGCGTCGGTCCTTGGAGGAGGCGGGACGGGAAATGTGGTCAGGGCGCATTCAGCGAAGCCTTTACATCAGCTGTGCTCTTTCCTTCAGAAGCCACCAAAACAGCATTTGTGGCCGTTCTCCAGAAAGAAAAGCAACTCCGTTGTGAATCACAGAGGCCGTGGCCTTAGTGTCGTCCTGTCCTTAGCGGTCAGGCGATTCTAGCGTGTTCCGATGAGCACCGGGTGGAATTGCTCTGGCTTTCTCTGTCATTGCTTCTCATTCTAACTGGCAGTTTCCTATGAACAAGAGCTTTCCTTCTCTCTCTCTTTTTCCCCCCTCTGTTCTTTTGGAAGTATCACAGTGTATTCTTGGGGTTTTCTTTGTTTCTTTCACTACATTATAATCAGTTGCTGTGATTCGTTTTGGTGCTCGAATTGTCCCACATCTGGCCAAGGGTGGAAACCGTGGTGGCGTAGCGGTTAAGTGCTACTACTGCTAACCAAAAGGTTATGAGTCGGAATCGACTGGACGGCAACGGGTTTGGTTTTTGGATTTTGGCCAAGGGTGGCCCTTCGAAGAGGCTTCCTGTGTCCCTTTGACACAACCCTATCACTCTTTTGAGTGCAGAATTGTCCCTGGTTCTACACTTTTTGTACTTTCCTGTTCTATACCTGGAATCAACCATTCCTCTAAAAGACCTGGTTCCTTTTAGAAAGCAAGATCTGTGCGATATATGTGTTCAATGCTACCGGCATATAATTGTGTCTGGGCCTTTAAGTAGACATCAAGGATATATATTTTCTTACATCGTATATTCATACTCTATTCCCAGTACAAGGAGCCCTGGTTGCACAGTGGTTAAGCGCCTGGCTGCTAACTGGAAGGTGGGCTATTCCACCTAGAAAGATGTAGCAGTCTGCTTCCGAAAAGAATACAGCCTTGAAAACCCTAGGGGGCAGTTGTGCTCTGTTCTATAGGATCCGTATGAGTCAGAATTGACTCCACCGTAATGGGTTTTGGTTTATTCCCAGTACAAATGTAACATTATAAGGTTATTTTCATACTTTCTCTTATTTTATATTTGTGTCTCCTTTATAATAAACACCTTGGTTCCTAATAACATCACTATATTATTTATTTTACCCTATGATGTCTATAGAGTATTTTCAAAAACATACCAATATCACTACCAACTGTAAAGTTACTCAGTAAAGTATTGTGTTTCTTTGCATTTCTTTATGTCCTTATTATAGAGTATAGATTTCTAGTAAGGATATAAACTTAAGAGCGCTGTGCTCAAACATTTCCTTAAACTCGGGCTCTAACATTTCCTTGAACCCTAACTCTCTTCTCTGCATGGTCATCACTTTGATATACTGTTATTTGTGTTTGTTTGCATTTAATTTTACGATTTGCTTTCATTTTGAATTAGTGTATTGCTTTATAAAATCTTTACATGGTTCAGAAGTCAAAAAAACTGTATAAAAAGGTATATTCAGAATGCTCATTTCCTCACACAGTTCCTGTGCTTGATTAAAAATCACCGCCACCAGCTAACCATTCCTGTTTAGTTTCTGGTTTAACCTTTCGGTGTTTATCGGAAATATTTTCCCCTCCGCCCCCCGCCCCATTTATTTATCAGTCATGTTATTGTCACATGAATGTACTTTTTCCCATGTAATAATATATACTAGGAATCAGTCTATATTAGTTCATTAGTTATCTCCCTTACCCTTTTTTCTGGCTGAAGAGCCCTTCATTAATGGATGTATGATACTTTATTCAACCTGTCTCTTCTGGATAGAATTTATGTTGCCTCCAATTATCCTAGCCAAAGAGCCTAAGAACAGCATGAACAAACCTATAGTCTGACAAAATCAGGTTTTGTGACTTGTTGCAATGAGGGAGACTGCAGAGCAGAGAAACCATGGGTGCCTCAACAAACAAAGCAAAAGGAAGAGTTATTATTGGATTCTGAGGAAGGGTGGAATTTAGATGAAATTTAATTGAAGCAGGGTTTTGATAGTTTCAAAGCAAAGCAGGACTGCCAATCACCCAGAGTCCTATTTCTTTAAACAGTGAAATTAAGATAGATGTGGAATGTTGTGCCCAGGAACCCTTTATCTGAAGCTTAGTGCCTAAGTTGTAAATCAAGACTCTGTGTTCAGAAAAAAAAAAAAAAAGACAGATGGAATGTTTCAATCTTACTGATATACGTTCAAACAGCTAATTTCTGATAGTTTCTGAATTTAGAAAACAAAGATTCTTCAAACCAAAAACCAGACCCTTTGCTGGAAACCAAACCCTTTTCTGATTCAAAGATTCTCAGTAAGAAATCAATAGTAACTCAAAGAAGGGGTCATTAGAGCTGCCTTCTGCATTGGGGAAAAGTAACTGTTCTATGGTAACTGTGCAGCTATCTTTGTCATTTTCCTTACTCCAGTTTCATGAATGGCTGGACAGATTTTTACTTGTTCAATCCAACCTAAGTTTAATTTTCTTACAATCTTCGGCTGTTAAAAATAAGGCTGCAGTGAAAAGCCTCGAGTATATGTGATTTTGCGGTGCAATGAATTGCTATTATATGGCCCTTCTAGCCATGGTCTTGTAACTCCCACAAAATGATTGGGTGGAACTATGGGTATAAAGTGCTTGTGGCCCACCAAGGTGATTGGACAACCTACTAATGCAAATAAGGTGTATGAAACCCTTGTGGGGATGAGACTATGCAGATAAGGTGTGCGGAACCCTTATAGGGGATTGGTCAATTTTGCCATCCCCACTAGGCTTAAAGGGAATCAATCCCAGAGGTTGGAGGGGGCCTCACTACCATGAAGAAGACCCAGGAGTGGAGCATGTCCTTTGGATCCTAGGTCTCTGCACTGAGAACCTCCTAGACCCAGGAGGCAGAGCTGTAATACCGGAGATGGTGAGAAGCGGCAGCAAGCATGACACAGTCCAGCAGCAGCAGAACCAGGAGACCGGTACAAGACTGTGCAGTGGGCTTCCAGCCCACAGAGTGAGAGAGCTGAGAGCCTTTGGGCAGGAGGCTTGCTGGCTTGCTGGCAGAATGGAGCACCTCCAGGCACTTGGCAGAGACCCACTGAGTGAGGGGAGCTGAGCACTTTCAGGCAGGACACTTCCTGGTGGAGTGGGGTGCCTCCGGGTACTTATCAACAGAGCTAAAAAGCTTTGTAACATTTGCCCAAGCCAGGGCAGAGGCCAGACCCACGAGCGGGGGCCCAGGCTGAGAGTGAGGGCCTGGAGACAGCAGTCAAGAAGTTGTCCTGATCAAAGAACTGTCTCCTGAGTTGCTCCTGTTACTTCCACATTGATCTTGATCTTGAATTGTAACCAATTACTTCCCTAATAAACCCCATGATCGTGAGTATGGTCTGTGAGTTCTGTGTGGCCATTGCAATGAATTACTGAACACAGAAGAGAAGTAGAGAGTGTAGTGGGAGGGATGGCTGGTGTCAGAATTGGTAAAAAGGTTGGAGGGTGACGGTGAGTTTGACCTTCACCTCATAGGAATCAGCCTTGAGCTGATATTAATGATGATTCTTCTCTCTCCCCCTTAGACAAGGTCTGACGCCATGCCATTTTTACAGATTTCATATTTTTTAATGTTTATATTGATGTTAATTTGCATACAATAAAATACACTGATCTTGTTTTTAGTTTGAAGATTTTTGTTTTATTTTTTATGTTGAAGATGTTGTCTTTCAGTTTTCCCCACTCTAAAGTAACTATTTTATTCTTTGTAATTGGTAAGTTTCCCATAGGGAGATAATTTGAGACTATGCAGATATGCCTCACGTGCATGTGAAAGCTGGGCAATGAATAAGGAAGACTGAAGAATTGATGTTGAATTATGGTGTTAGCGAAGAATATTGAATATACCATGGACTGCGAGAAGAACAAACAAATTGATCTTGGAAGAAGTACAGCCAGAATGCTTCTTAGAATCAAGGATGGCGAGACAGTGTCTCACGTGCTTTGGACATGTTATCAGGAGGGATCAGTTCCTGGAGAAGGACATCACGCTTGGTAAAGTAGAGGGTCAGCGGAAAAAGAGGAAGACCCTCAATGAGATGGATTGACACAGTGGCTGCAAATGGGCTCAAGAATAAAAACGATTGTGAGGATGGCACAGGACCGGGCAGTATTTTCTTTCTGTTGTACATAGGGTCACTATGAGTCAGAACCAACTCGACGGCACCTAACAACAACATTCACATATTCTGTTTATCAACCTAATTTTGCCCAGGAATTTAGCATCCATTGATAGTTATTACCTGTAATAGTTATTACTATTGTGTTTACCAAATAGTGATTTTCTGTTCCAGCCATTCCTTCTGTATTTATTAATTGGAATTCTGTAAGAAATAGCTTTCCCTTGTCTCCCCATTATCTATTTATTAAATTATTTATATCACTATAGTTGAATGGATATTACTATTTGTTTTTTATTTTGTTGCTCAAATTATACCAGATATGGTTATTTAGAGCTCCCTTAAGTTGGTTCCTGTATTTTTTCAGGAAATGCCCCGTCATTTTTTGAACATTTCCTTACTTTCTGGCAGTGGTCCAGGATCAACTCTACTTTCCCTGCCACAGCCCAGAATCTGCCTATTTCTCTGAGGAACCTTAGTTCTTATTATTGGAAAATGCTCTTTAGAAACCAAGATCTAGGCATCGTGTGCTTATTGCTACTGAGCCCTCAAAGTGGACAGAGCTAAGAAATGTGTAGGCCTGGCAATACCCTATGGAAGGCAGTTCTACTCTGCACACATAGCGTTACCATGAATCAGAACTGATTTGACTACAAGTGTGGAATTTTTGTTCTTGGTATTGCTACTGGGCCCTCAAAGTGACAGAGCTAGGACGTATATGTGTGTATGGACACACAAAAACACATATTTGTATCTATTTCTATATGTATGTCTATATATGTTAAAAACTCTGAGATCATACTTGTATTTCTGATCCTAGTCCAATGCCACAGGGTTCATTTTAGCTTTCCCCCTTTCTTTATTTGCTGTTCGTTTCTCTAATAGTGAGAAACCTAGCTGTCATCACTTATAATACTTTGTTTGCTCAATATTAGAATGCACATAAAGTAGTTTCAGAGTTGCTAACCATATCCCTGTGGAAAACAAATTTATTAACTTAGAGTTATTTATCTTTTATCTTTAGGCTTAGAGTACATATCAAAATATTGTCTATACTTACATAAATTAGTTTTTTCAGCGTGGTTTTGTTGTTCATTTGTAGTATAGTTAAATTCACTTGTTACTATTTGTATTCCGTTTTGAGTACTCCAATCCTTGTTGATTTTAGTTACTTACGTTTGGTTTGGTTTTAGAAAAGTAAGAACTATTAAACAAAAAAATTATTCTCCAGAGAAGTGTCACTCTCCATCATCTCTTCTACCCTGTCATCATTCCTCTGTTCTTTGTCTCTGTTTTTACCCACCCCTTGCAACTAAACAATCTAATTAGTTTCTGATTTATCCTTCCAGTGTTTCTATTTGCACTATGAGCAGTAACAGGTTTGTTTCATTATATCCCCTTCTTTTCTGAAATAAAAGGTAGCATACTACACATAATACGCTGTACTTTTTCTCTTAATTTCTTCTGAAAGTTATTCTGTGTCTATTCGTGAAGACCTTTTTTAAAATTTTTCTTACAGCTGCATAGTATTCCATTGTGTGGATGTACCATAGTTTATTCCACCACACTTTTATGTATAGTCATTAAGGTATTTTTCTGATACTTTTTCGTTAGAACAGTGCTGCAACTAATAACCTTGTTGGAGGTTCATCTTCTGGGCAGATTCCTAGAAGTCAGATGCCTTGGTTTAAAGGTGAGTACAAATGTAGTTTTGTTGATATTGCCAATTGTCCTCCAGAATTGTACCAATTTGCATTCCCTCCTATGTATAAGAGTGAGTCACTGTTTTCTATAGCTTCATCAACAGAATGTGGTAGGCTTTTTGCTTGTTTGCTTGTTTGTTTTTAATTCTCATCAATGTGATAGGTGAGAAATGGTATCTTAGCATTTTTTAAAAATTGCATTTCTTTCATTATAAATTAGTTTAAATGTCTTCATATATATTTAAGGGTATTTTAATACCTTTTTCTATAAATTGCCTATTCATCTCTTTGCTTATTTTTCTATGTGGTTTTTTGGTTCTTTGTTCCTCAGTTTTTTTTATTCGACTTCATTCTTTGTAGCAGTTTTAGGTTTACAGCAAAATTACAGCAGAAAGTATAGAGAGTTTCCACATATGGCCTGTTCCGTCTACACAGTTTCTTCTATTAGTAACATCTTACATTAGTATGATACATTGGTTACAATTTATGAACCAATATTGATACATTACCTATAATACTTTATTTGCCTATAATTGTCATTACCTATAATACTTTATTTGCTCGATATTAGAATACACATAGTTTCAGAGTTGTTAACCCATATCCCTGTGGAAAACAAATTAACTAGAGTTATTTATCTTTTATCTTTATCATATGTAACTAAAGTCCGTAGTTTATAGTGGGTTCACTCTTTGTGTTGTACAGTCCTATGGGTTTTGACAAATGCATAATGTCATATATCCAGCATTATAGAATTATACAGAATATTTTCACTGCCCTAAAAATCTTTTGGGCTCCACCTATTCACCATTTCCTCCTACCATCCCTCTGAACCCTGGCAACCACTGATGTTTTCACTACCTCCATAGTTTTGCCTCTTTGCAATAGGCATTTAAAGGATCTTCCATGTCTTCTTGTGACTTTAGCCCATGTATTTGTATCGATAAATAATAATCAGTTGTGTGGATTACCACAGTTTATCCATTCATCTTTTGATTGCTTCCAATTTTTGGCAGTTATTCTACCATAAGTATTCATGTGCAGGTTTTGTGTAGAAATAAGTTTTCAACTCATTTGGGTAAAAATCAAGAAACGTGATTGCTGGATCATATGGTAAGAGTATGTTAGTTTTGTGAGAAACTGACAGACTGTCTTCCAAAGTGAATCAGTGAGAGTTCTTGTTGCTTCACATCCTTGTTAGCATTTGGAGTTGTCAGTGTTTTGGACTTGAGCCATTTTAATAGGTGTGTAGTGTTATCTCATTGTTATTTTAGTATTCAAGTCTGTAATGACATGATGTTCACTTCTTTTTATATGCTTATTTGCCATTTGTACATCTTTGGTGAAATGTCTGTTCAGATCTTTTGCCCATTTTGTAATTGAGTTTTTTTTCCCCCTTTTATAATTGAGTGTTAAGAATTATTTATGTATTTGGGACACAAGTCCTTTATCAGATATGTGTTTTGCAAATATTTTCTCCCAGCCTGTGGCTTATCATTTCATTCTCTTGCCTTTTGGTTTTTAAAAAACCACTTCATGTACTTATTGTTCCTCAATTTTTAAGGGTTCTGTGTCTCTGTGTGTACATATAATATTCATATTAACTCTTTATCTGTGATATAAATTGCAGCTATATTCTTCCAAATTTTTAGTTCCATTGACTTAGAGTTTTTTGCCATGTAAAATTTTAATTTACTTTCATGTAGTGAAATGTATTTTCTTTTCTTGCCTATGGATTTTAACTCATAGTTAGAAAGCCTTTCCCTGACCAAGGTTAAAGAGGAATTCGTTCTTGTTTTCTTCTAGTATGGGTATAGCTTCATTTTTACAGTAGATCCCAGATTCATTTTGCATACAGGAGCCAGTAGCCACATGTGGCTATTTAGCACTTCAAATGTGGCCAGTTCAAAGTAAGATGTAAGTGTAAAATACACACTGGATTTTGAAGGCTTACTACCAAAAAAGTGTAAAATATCTCAATAATTTTTTTGTGTATTTATTACTTACTGAGATAATATTTTGTACATACTGGGTTCAAAAAAATACATCATTAAAATTAATTTTACCTGTTTCTTTTTACTTTTCTTAATGTGGCTACTACAAAACTTGAAGTTACACGTGTGGCTTGCATTTGTGGCTTTCATTTTGTTTCTGTTGGAACGGTGCTGGTTTGGCGTTTATTTTTCTGTATGGTATACCATATAGATTTGATGTTATCTTTTTCCAGATGCCTCATCAGTTGTCCTGGCACCATTTAATAAAATGTCTTATCTTTGTCTTAGTAATTTGAGATGTCACTTTTATCCAGGGCTTCAAGCCGGCTTGAAACAGTTCATTCATGGCTGATGGAAACAAGGGTAGTGTACGCACTGCATAGCAACCAACTCTCTTGTGAGGCAGATTTTGTCCGGAGTAGGAAACAGCGTTGACACATTCAAAGATGGCTCAACCGGCTTGCTTTGAATGTGTGTAGCTGTCCAGATTACTGCCAATAATACAATCTCCCACATTAGGCTCCTGAAACTTTCTGGCATCAGGCATGATGCGAGAGACTGGATTATTGGCAGGAATATGGGCAATGGCACATTTAGAGTGGCAGGGTTGGCTGCCATCTTTGAGCAGGGCAGCGCTATTTCCTACTCAGGACAAAATCCACAGGGCAAAAGATTCGGTGGCTGTGCAACAAGTACACTGCCCATCAGCCATGACTGAACCATTTCGAACAGGTTCAGAGCCTTGGTTTTATCATACACTGAATTTCCATATATATTTGGGTCTATTTCTGGGCTTTCTATTCTGTTTCATCAGTTTGTTCATGTGCCAGTACCACACTGAGTTAATTATACACAGTTTGTAGTATGCTTTAATATCTGATACAGCTATTATCTCCTTGTAGTTCTCCCCCCAGTGATTTCGTGGCTATTATTGTTCCATGTGTGTTTTACTGTATGAATTTCGTATGAACTTGTCTAATTCACCAAAAATCTTTATATTTTTATTGGGATTACATTAAATTTATAAATTAACTGAATGAGAACTGACGTCTCTGTGATATTTAGGGGTCTTATCCATTAACAGACTGTCTTTTTCTGTTCAGTTCTAATTTTATGTCTTTCAGAAGTATTTTAAAGTTTTTCTCCTGTAGATTTTGTACATTATCTTAAATTTATTCCTTGATGTTGAATCTTATTTGTTGCTATTATAAATGTATTTAATTTCCCATTATGTCCTTTACCTGTTTATTTTTTGGATATATGAAGGCTGTTGATATCTGTATTTTAATTTTTGTAGCTTGATAGCTCCTTTTTATTGCTAAATAGTACTCCATTGTATAGATATACCACAGTTTCTTTATCCATTCACCTATGGAAGGGCATCTTGGTTGTTTCCAATTTTTGGTAATTATGAATATAGCTGCTGTAAATATTCATGTGCAGGTTTTTTTGTGTATGATATACATTTTCAACTCATTTGGGTAAATACCTCGGAGTGCAATTCCTGGATTCCTGGAAAGCTAACCTATGTTTATCTTTCTAAGAAACTACTAGACTGTCTTTCAAAGTCCTTATATGTTAATGCCTTACTTAATTTTTTTATTGTTGTAATTAGTTATGGTGCTGAATCTGTAAATTGCTTTCAGTAGTATTGACATATTAACAATATTAAATCCTGTAATCCATGAACACAGGATGTCTTTTCATTTATTTAGACCTTTTAATTTCTTTCAGCAACATTTTGTAGTTTTCAACATACAAGTCTTTCACGTCCCTGGTTAAACTTATCCCTAGGTATTTTATTTTTAGAGATGCTGTTGTAAATGGAATTGTTTTCTTAATTACCTTTTCAGATTGTTCATTACTGGCATGTAGAAACACAACTGATTTCTGTGTGTTAGTCTTGTACCCTGTGTTTTTGTTGTTGTTAGGTGCCGTTGAATCAGTTCCGACTCATAGCAACCCCATGTATAAGAAAACAAAACATTGCCCAGTCTTGCACCATCCTCACAGCTGTTGCTATGTTTGAGCCCATTGTTGCAGCCACTGTGTCCATCATATCGTTGGGGGTCTTCCTCTTTTTTGCTCACCTTCTACTTTACCAAACATGATGTCCTTCTCCAGGGTTTGGTCCCTCCTGATAACACGTCCAAAGTAAGTGAGACATAGTCTCGCCATCCTCACTTCTAAGGAGCATTCTGTCTCTACTTCTTCCAAAGCAGATTAGTTTGCTCTTCTAGCAGTCCATGGTATATTCATTGTTCTTTGCAAACACCATAATCCAAATTCATCAATTCTTCTTTCATCTTCCTTATTCATTGTCCAGCTTTCACATGCATAATATCGTACCCTGTAACTTTGCTGAGTTCATCTGTCAGCCCTAGTAGTTTTCTTGTGGATACATTGGAATTTTCCATATATAGGATAATGTTGTCTGTGAATAGAGATAGTTTTATATCTTCTTTTCCCACCTATGCCTTTTATTTCCTTTTTTTTTTTTTTGCCAAATTGCATTGGTTAGAACTCCCAGTACAATGTGGGATAGCAGTGATAAAAGCAGGAATCCTTGTCTTGTTCCTGATCATGGGGGAAAGCTTTCAGTCTTTCAGCATTGAGTATGATCTTACCTGTGGGTTTATTATGTTGAGGAATTTCCCTCCTATTCCTAGTGTGCTGAGGGTTTTTTATCATGAAAATGTGTTGGATTTTGTCAAACTCCTTTTCTACATCAATTGATATGATCATGTGGTTCTTTTCTCTCATTCTGTTTAACATGGTGAGGAGCCCAGGTGGCACAATGGTTAAGTACTCAGGTGCTAACTGAAAGGTTGGCAGTTTGAACTACCATCGGCTCCAAGGGAGAAAAGACCTGGTAATTTGCTCCTTTAAAGATTATAGTCTAGAAAACCCTCCGGGGCAGTTCTACTCTCTCATATGGGTCACTATGAGTCAGAATTGACTCAACAGCACACAACAACAACATTAATATAGTGTATTACATTGATTGATTTCCTTGAACCAGTCTTGCATTACTGGGATACATCTCACTTCTTTATGGTGTATAATCCTTTTAATATCCTGTTGAACTTAGTTTGCTAGTATTTTGTTGAGGATTTTTGCATCCTCAACAAAATACTAGAATGATTGGTGCTAATTATTCTTTATATGTTTGGTAGAATTCACAAGTGAAGCCACCTGGTCCTGAACTTTTTTTGTAGGGGCGCTTATATTACAGATACAATCTCTTTTGTGGATCTGTTGAAGTTTTCTATTTCTTTTTGAGTAAATTTAGGTAGTGTATATGTTTCTAGGAATTTGTCCATTTCATCTAGGTTATCTAATTTGTTGGTGTGCAGTTCATAATATTTTCTTATAATCCTTTTCCTTTCTGTATGGTCAGTAACAATGTCTGCACATTCATTTCTTATTTTAGTTGTTTGTGTCTTTTCTTTTTTTTTGCTAGTCCAGCTAAAGGTTTCTGAGTTTTATTGGTATTTTCAAAGAACCAACTTTTGATTTTGTTGATTCTCTCTATTGTTTTTCTATTATTTCATCTGTCTTCACACTGATCTTTATTATTTCTTTTCTAATTGTAGTTTTGTAATTAATTTGCTCTCTTTTTCTAGTAAGTCAAGTTGTAAAGTTAGGTTATTTATTTAAAATCTTTCTTCTTTTCTAACATATGCATTTACAGCTATAAATTTCTCTCTGAGCACTGCATCCCATAAGTTGTACTTTCATTTTCATTTCTCTCTAAGTTTTTTTTTTCAATTTCCCTTGTGATTTCCTCTTTGACCTATTGGTTGTTTACAGTGTGTTGTTTAATTTCCTCATACTTGTGGGTTTTCCACTTTTCCTTTTTATTGTTTTCTGTTTCAGTCCATTGTGATCAAAGATACTTTCTATGATTTCAATCTTTCAAAATTTATTGACACTTGTTTTGTGACCTAACTTATGGTCTGCCCTGGAAAATGAGCCATGTATGCTTGAGCAGAATTTGTATTCTGGTATTGTTGGATGGAATATTCTGTATATATACTGTTTAGTCTATATGGTTTATAGTGTTATTCTTCTATTTCCTTATTCATCTCCTGTTTGGATGTTCTATCCATTATTTAAAGTGGTGTATTGAAGTCTCCAACTATTACTGTAGAACCATTTATTTCCCTTCAATTCTGTCAATATTTACTTTTTATTTTGGGGGAATTGTTGGTGGATGCATGTGTTTATAATTGTTATATCTTCTTGCCAAATCGACCCTTTTATCATTATATAATAGTCTTTTTTCATCTCTTGTGACAGTTTTTGACTTAAAGTCTATGTTGCCTTAAATTAACATAGCCACCCTTGCTCTGTTTTGATTACTGTTTGCTTAGAATATTTGTTTACGTTTTTTCACTTTCAATCTATTTGTCTTTGGACCTATAGTGGGTCTTTTTGACATCATACAGTTAGATTGGGTATTTTTATCTAGTCTCTGACTTTTGATTGTAAAGTTTAATCTATTCACGTTTGAAGTAATTATTTGAAAACTTCTGCCATTTTCCTATTTGTTTTCCTTGTGTTTTATATAGTCTAGTGGTGTTGTTAGGTGCAATCGAGTCAGTTCTGACTCATAGCGACCCTATGTACAACAGAATGAAAGCACGCCTGGTCCTGCGCCATCCTCGCAGTCGTTGTTATGCTTGATCCCATTGTTGCAGCCACTGTGTCAATCCATCATATCGTTGAGGGTTTTCCTCTTTTTCGCTGACCTTCTACTTTACCAAGCTTGATGTCCTTCTCCAGGGACTGGTCCCTCCTGATAACATGTCCAACATATGTGAGACTAAGTCTTGCCATCCTTACTTCTAAGGAGCATTCTGGCTGTACTTCTTCCAAAACCAATTTGTTCATTCTTCTGGCAGTACATGCTATATTCAGTATTCTTTGCCAATACCACAATTCAAAGGCATCAGTTCTTTTTCTGTCTTCATTATTCATCATCCAGCTTTTGCATGCGTATGAGGTGATTGAAAACATCATGGGTTTGGTCAGGCGCACCTTAGTCCTTAAAGTGACATCTTTACTTTTCAACAGTTTAAAGAGGTGTTTTGCAGCAGATTTGCCCAACACGATGTGTCTTTTGATTTCCTGACTGCTGCTTCCATGGGTGTTGATTGTGGATCCAAGTAAAATGAAATCCTTGACAACTTCAGTCTTTTC